TATACTAAACTGGTATACTTAAAGTCTGCTAAATTGGAACAACTAATTTTGTACTTACTGCATTTTAATTGTGCGGAAGTAGAGCTAAGGTTCAACTAAAGACATACTGAAGTATATTTGATTCTGCTAAAGTGGAACTATTGGATTGGAAAGGAAAAGGAAAAGGAAAGGACAATGTCCCATACTTGGAATTTGTGCTCTGCATTTAACCCATCCAAGTGCACACACACACCGTGATCACACACCCGGAGCAGTGGGCAGCTAATGCTGCGGCGCCCGGGGAGCAGTTGGGGTCTCAGCTCAGTCGTGGTATTGATGGTGGAGAGAGCACTGGATATTCACTCCCCCCACCGACAATCCCTGCCGGACCTGAGACTCGAACCCGCGACCTTCGGGTTACAAGTCCGACTCTCTAACCACACAATCCTCATCAATAAAACACATTTTAGGCTTAATATTAAGAAATATGCATTGTGCACAAGTTGTACTCCAAAAGAAGTTAAATTATAATTTTTTACATCAGTAAGTCTTGAGCGATATGTCAGTAAATATGTTAAAAGATTTGAACTATACGTAGTATGAAATAAATGTATTTTAAATATATTACTTTTTTACTAGGGTATATCTATTGGTTTGTCTATAATTTTTCATACATGATAAAACTTTTCCATATTCTATTTTTTTTCTTTCCACTTTAGTTCACTCGAGCATCCATCTAAACTTTTTTCCTGATAAAACTTTTCCAAAAAATATATTTTTTTAAATTCAATCAAATATCTGTTTGTCTGTCTATATTTCTGTATACAGTATGTCTATTAATCAGTCATCTTGTTTTTCCAGGGACAATAAAACTTTTCCATAATCTATTTATTATTTCTTTCACATTAATTCAGTCAAGTAATCAGTTTGTCTATCTACAGCTATAGTATCTATTTGTTTCTGTCGTAATCCATTCAAAAACTTTCCCTTTTATTCTTTCGTAAACAACTTGTCTATAATCTGTGTATTTCACTCAAGTCTCTCTCGGTCTTTCTTGTTTTGTTTCTGAATTTCACTGAACAACTTTTCCATAAGCTAAATCCAGCAACATTTACAAGCTAGCTAAAAGGGTGTCCAGCGATCATCCCGGGGCAGACGTGCTGACGTCAGTGGCAGAGTTCCAGTAAGGGTCTCTCTCTGGCTGTCCTTGGTCTCGTGGAGAGGTGGGCTGTGTGGAGAGCGGTCCTTTTGTGACAACAGAGTTTACCTCAGGGCACGGCGTGGGCCTCCCGCTGCCCCGGGCCACAGAGGACACCCTATTGTTCCTGTGTTCCCTGAACAAAGCCGGCCACCCGTGCCCCTGCTACACACAGTCCCACTGAGTCATTGTTCTGCTGACAAACTCTCAACCCAAATTTCATTACATATGAATTTTCCTTTGTCGCCCCTTCAGGCCCCCCTCTCGCGTTTTGCTCCGACAAATCTTTTCGGGTTTCGTATTCCACCCCCTCCCCAAACCAGTAATCATACAAGACTTGTTATTATGCATGCCAAAAGAAAAGGATGAAACAGCAATGAACACATGGAACTCACAAGACAAATGTTACTTTATTCTGTAATCTGGTCAAATTTAGCGCCAGTATACGACGAAAGCTTTTTTTGCACTAAATTTAAAAAAAAAAGTCCACAAAAAATATTCTTCCTTTGATAAGCAAAATTTATATTTCCTCATACAATACAGATCATAAGCACCTGTTGCTTAAATCCTTGGCATCTTCGCCTCAGATATCTGAACTTATTTCTAAAAATACAGCAATGCTCAAAAAAACTAGGGATTATTTTTGACCTTTCATTATGGAAAATCTAAATATCTCACTATGATGATGACAAATGTCTGACTGAAAGTATATTGAAAGTATACTGAAATATACTTTTTTTTTTCATGAAAATCTTAATCTTTGCATTTCCCTCACAAAAAAATCTAGTAATCTAGAAAAATGTTACTTTATTTCCTACTAAAATTGTATTGAAAGCAAAGGTACATTAATTACAAGTGCCTAACTATTGTACTTTGGCTATGTAAACACAGTCTCTCCCTCCCTAAACTTACTCAATCACCCTCTTTGCATAAAAAGACATGTAAAAGAAAGGATAAAATGCAACATAATGGTGTTGATAAGCTAAATTACCAGATAACATCGAGGCACACACAAGCCATATGGTGCCTCCACCACTATCGCCTGTTGCTGGCATAACAATGGAGTTGGCTAGACGGTGAGTGGCAGCAACAGTCAAACAAATGGCCGTTCCTCTGAATTAGCCCAGCGCCAGAATGAGTACACACAGTTTAGCATCTTTCAGCCTACAGGTGCACTTAAGTGGCAAACCAGATGTCAGCATGGGAGCGGGACTGTTTGTGGAGTAATTCAGCCGCTCCACGAGCCCCTGCTTCAATAACAGCAGGAACAATGAAGGGTCCCTTCCCCCATTTTCCCACAATCCCGTGCTCCCCGAGGAAGCCGTGTCTCCTGAATCTGGCACATTTTTTTCTCTTCTGACAAAGTTTCAGAAAGAGAAAACAGATAAATTAACTAACTGCGTCAATTGGTTCTCTCCTTCTGAAAGGTTAAATTACATAAAGTTCAGTTTTAAAGGCCACGTTTTAGTTACAGAAAAATGTTTAGGTCACATATATGCTTATAAATGTCAGTTTCGGTTTCAAAATGAACACTTTTTAGACCATACATTATTACACTTCAAGATACTTATTAGGTTTTTATTCAATTATATGGATGATAACGGTCACAGATACTGGTTTTTATTAGTGATATGCATTGTTTTGGATTGTGAGAATTGGTGTTTCAGTTTTAAAAGGGTCTCTACTCTGTTTACATAAGTCAAATAGACTGGCAAGTCAAAAAAGCAACACAATAGTGAAGGGGTCGATCTCATCTGAGACAACAAACCACTGTCAGACAGTAGTGGGAGAGGGGGAACAACAAACAACAAAAAAGAAACAAAAAACTACTAATTCGTCTTACTCTAAAGTAGCCTACTATACTACAGTATAAGGCTTTTAAATAGAAGTGTACACTCATTTATAAAACTATTCACAATGCCGAAACACTGCACAAAATTAAGCCCTCCAAGTCCAGCCAGTTAGTTTAACGCTTACAATTTTCTTTATCTTGTTGATATCTATTACATGTCAGATACATACTTTAAATTGAACAAAAACACAGTCTTACTATATTGGAAAACAGCAATAAACGCATATTTCACCCTCTTTTAGTAGTTAAACATGACAAATGGCACAGAGTGTGTCCCAAAATATGACAAATGATGCCCCAAAATGCTGTCTAGGTAGGCAGCACACTAGGTTTTGAGACAGTCTCAGACCAGGCACTAATTTTAGTCTGAGGGCTTTCAAACGTCCAGATTAATTATTAACAGGGGCTGGACCATGGACTTTCTCCCTAATCCTTTATTTATGTACACAAAACTGGCGTTTTTCAGGAAAGCAGACGGGAGCGGGGTTTTAGCCCGACCAAATAAGCGACTAAACATCCACAAGCCACTGAGGTCACGCTAATAACCAGAAATCAATGACACTGATTCAGTCATGCCAGAAACATGAATCACAGCGCGAGGTTTACTATTAAAGTAAATATGAACTTACTGTTACAACGAGACCGTGGTAAACTGGCTGGCACGGATCGAAGGAAAAAGTGTTTTCTGAACCTCCACAAGTGATGAAAATCTCTGCGGATCTACAAAAAATGAAAACATGAATCATTTTATTTAACTGCCTCTTTTGGCACAGTGTATTTTGGATTTTTTTTCTTTCGCTTTTCATCGTGAAAGGCTGCTTATTTCTGCCTTGTCATTTTTAAAAACTGGGGGGAAAACTACAACCACTGTTCTCTTAATATTTACGTATTAATCTATAATACATAAGAGTCCACACATAAAGTGTTAGCAAAACTAGCAGTAAAAATAAAACACCATTTTTACACTACAAAGCAATTTTACACAGAACCTAAATAGAGTCTATAACTTCGCATCGCTTCTGACAACTTACTACAATAAAGCGCAAACGTACCTCAGTCTTTTAATGTGTCTGATGCTGAGCAATAGGATCGAGCGCACGCTCTGGTTTATTTCCAGCTGAGCACTTTTTTTCTTCTCGTCGGAGCGCGAGAGCGCGACTATTCCGCGTATCTAACAACGATGTGAAGTATGCGCGGAATGAGGGCAAGAATGAAATGAACGCGAAGAACTGAGTTTGCGTTGGGGGCGGAGTGACGTCACTCGCAGAACTCATAGGCGGGGGGAGGGGCTGCCGCTGAGCGTGTGACTGGAGCGGTGAGGATTTTTGATTCATCAGTGACTCGCATCTTTTGAATCCCTTCACTAAAGCGATTCGTACAGTGGCCTTTCTAGAGGTCTGCTACCCGACCCGAGCCCGACGGGTCCCGAAATAAGTTTAAAGCCCGTGCAGACCTCTAGGCCTTTCTGAAGTCACATCGTGGCGCCAGCAAGTGGCGAAACGTCACTGAATCGTTTATTCAATCAATTCATAATCCACGAAATGATTTTTACAAGAGCATTTCTTCATCTTAGGTTTTCCCACAGTTTTTTCAATTGGTGGCATAACTGTCATCGAGCTCTTCAACAACAACAATACCCAAGAGTTTCGTTTTTACATTTTAGTCGTACGAGTCAATATTACACATTTTCCCAACCAAAATATCACCTTCAGACTCGAAAGTAGGTTACTAACTAACTAATAAAACGATATGTACTTCAGAGCGCTCAAATGTCATTTTTTCTTACAGTCATCACTAAAACATGTGTCAGTGCATGGAAATGAAGATTAGTTCACTTGATTATTTAAAGATAGAACACTAAAGTAAAAGAATTGGGGAGAAGTTCACGTATTTATAATGTCGACAATGTCATAAGAAGAAGCAGACTTACGTTTCTAAAACCTTTTGTTTTGTCAAAGCCAATAAATCGCTACATTCCCGCCTAAAGAGAGGCGATGACGTCTCTCTCTCTCACACACACACACACACCTTTAAATAATGTCCGAAAGAAAGTCACTCAGGCTTCTTGTTACATTTGGATTAATTTCAATAAAGTTTACGCGGATGTATTTAGCCTACATTACATTAGTCTACATTGTGTAAAGATATATTACACAAAATTTCCACTTGACAAGCTTCCACACAAGGGTTGTTAACGCTGATAACAGAATACTCAATCATACCATTGCCATCTTGTGGTAAAAACAGACAAAAGCTGTTGTTAAAGAAATGCTTTGACCGTTTCTACATAACAGGGGACTAGTTTATATCCCTTACGAAAATTAACCAAACATGGTTTTACTACCAAAAATTTTTTAATTTAGTTAATCCATGGCAACCACCAAATAAACTATGGTATTGCTACACTAACCATAGTTTAACCTTTAGTATTTGTAGTAAAACTGTTCTTATACAAATGGTAATTAATCTGCCGAGAGAAAAAAACGGTTATATGTGATGACGTGTGTACCTCACAGTCATTCCCTACATTAAGGATAGTAACATGGTAAATGTTGTCCTTGTGGGGACATTTTCTTTGGTCCCTATGAAGAAACAGACTATAAATCATACAGGTTATTATTATTTTTTTTTTTTTCAATCTAAAATAGCAGAAAGTAAAAACCATTTCATCTATGGAATGTCCCCATCGTTGTCCTTGTGGGGACATTTTCTTTGGTCCCTATGAAGAAACAGACTATAAATCATACAGGTTATTATTTTTTATTTTTTTTCAATCTAAAATAGCAGAAAGTAAAAACCATTTCATCTATGGAATGTCCCCATAGAAAATGGAAACCAGTGTGCGTGTCTTCACAATTTTACTGATTTTTATAAATAAATTAATTGATAATTTAACAAGTGTAAATAACACTAAAATAAAAAAAGAGGCTTGATTTTGAAGGTTAGGGAAAAAAACATTGCTCTCATCAAAAACAGCACTTGTTAGTTGAGTAAAACTTGAAACATGACAAATACATCCAGCGAACACATTTCACAGTAATGGCAAACAAAAAGGGTAAATGTGAAAATCCTTGAAAATCAATGTGTTTTACAGAAGGAGTGAGCAGGAGCGAGATGAAGGGGTGTAATTAAATGGTCATATAATTGGATCTGGAGAACAAGCAATGAAGCAGCTTGTTAACTTGTTACTGTTACCCCGGGAGAGCAAGCCAGCGTGCCTGAGCCTGCCATTAGCAGAATGTTGTTCTCACATTCTATAGGGACGCAATCAAAAAACAGCACGAAAAGGAAACGGTGAGGAACACCTTGAGCGTTTCTCTTCCCGAGAATGATATTCACTGAGAAAGGAGCACATGGGTCAAACAGAACATGAATTGTTCTTAGTTACAACGTTCAGATTTGATTAAAATGTGTGTATGAATCAACTATAGTCAAAACGAGTATAAATGCTCTTTAGCAGATTGGAGGTCATGTCTTTCCTGTGAATGTTTTATAAATGGAGCCCTCAGAGGCATGTTTGATGTTCAGGATGAATGCTCTTCTACCTTTGATGTTCAGTTGAATTTCAAGCCACTGTAACTTTGAAAATCCACACACTAAGGGTCCGACCCATCAAGTGACATTGACAAAGATGGATGGGGCTCCGAAATCCAAATTCAGAAGGATCCCCGAACCTATAATTCACTTTTGAGGTCTCTGTTCCTCCTTCATCACCTTTGTCATTCTTAACCTTTAAAAATACAAGCACTCTTAAAGCATGTTAGTAAGAGTGATGATTAGTGAAACAAAAAAAGCGAGAAAGATGAAGAGAGAGGCGAGAGAACTAAAGAAAGAAAAAATCTAGATTAAGAGAGAAAGAGCAAATGTTACAAAGAAAGACAAAATAATTGCAATCTAATGATGGCAACACTGCAATTCAGGACATTTCGCACAGGTCAGTCAATTACCCAGGTGTCCTTTCTGTAATTTCCCCCCCCAGATTACACAAATCACCTGCTTTTGTGATAACAGGAAGTCATAATATGTGAAAATTGCATAATATGTTATATAATGTTCCGTTTGTAATGTTCTCTTCCAATATTTTAAACAAACAGAACTACGTATAGTGAAACATATTACTGTATGTAACAAGTGATATCCCAAAAATCACATGGTTTGATGAGGAGAAGTGTAATATTAAGGTTGTTCAGAAGATGAAATCTAGTCATTTCAATACGAATCAACACAATCTGGAAATTCGCATTATGGCAAAACTGTGTGAATGATGCTTTATGCAACTTTAGGCTATTGACAGTGGAAAATGGACCAAATTTTGCTAATGTGACTGCAAATGTAATTTTCTCAGTGTTTAGACTTAATAAATTGGTGATAAGACCTGCATTAAAAAAGGGACTAGCATATCAGACTATACACAGAGCTGTTGTGGTGAGTTGTGCTGGACACATTTTCTTTAGAAAATGCAAAATCGTACTATAATACATAAAGATATGACATTTTCTATAGCAAACCAGGCACAAGAATTTCAGCGCTTCAGGTAGAAAAGTAATTTTCTGGAAAATGCAAGAATGAAAATAGTTTAAAAAAAAAATCTATACAAGTTTAGAGTATTTCTCTTCTGTTTAAACCAACAGTATTTGTTCTGAGAGTGTCTCAATTCAAGATGTTCCATATCAGAATGTCTTTGGTATTTACTGGTGGTTATAAAGGACAAAACCATCTACGAAGCTCAAGCACGTTAGTGTATGGAGCCAAACGGTTTAAGAGATCAAAATTAGACCATCATTTTGTTTTGCTGCCATTTTGAAAGAATCCAATAAGAATGTTAAAGCGATTTTTCAAGCAGCGGTTCCCCATGTGGATGAGGACGGGTTTGAATGGAACTAAATTACCCCCAAACAGCCTTCCACTTAAGTAAGGACAAAGCGAGCCCACGTCTGCTGGTCATCCCTGCGGTATTTTGAACGCCGTAAGCATCTGTTCCAGTGAGTGAAGTGAACCGAGTCTATCAGTGACAAGACGACTTAAAATACAGCACTCAAGAACGCAGCCTTTGGCTTGGCAGAGAGCGAGGAAATGGAATGGAAAGATAAAATCTGACAATCACAATGGGCTAGATGATCATCCACGTTTAATGTAGACTTTGTAACATTTTTCAGGTGGAGATAAAACACGGACATTGAATTTTACAAATGACTCTACTGCAATGAAATTGCATCAAAATGGTACAAAAAAGTATTTTTATAATTTCCACAAACATAAAAGTTGCACTACTGCTACTTAAATTCGTCTTTCAGTTTAAATACAACTTTTTTCCCAATAGTGATCCAAGTCACCGTGTCTTAAGATGTAAGAAAATAAATTACTATCGGGTTTCAGAGTTCTTCAAAACAACAAACTGCGCCAGATTTGTGTGACAACAGCACATTTTTGGTTGATTCAGATAAGCTACGCAAGTGCAGACGGTTATAAAAACATTAGCACAGAAATCAATACTAAGCCTTCAAAAATGAAGATATACAGTCAAAACAGCAAGTCATTACAACTAAACTAATTATTTGGTCAAACATCCACAGCTGCCTTAAATCTAACGCAGCTGCTAGGCTTGACTTTGTAAGAGAGCTGATACTGTGAAGCAAGATAATATAGTGTTCTATGTGATATAACGTGTAGTGCAAGGCTGCGAGCTGGGTATTTTCTCTCATAAGTCTGTTTAGGCACTTCAGGATTAATATGTTTCAAACCGATTATACTGCTAATTGCATTTCCACAGGTAAAAGGCGAAGTTATGCCTTTGACGCTTCACCTGAGGATGAAAAAACGTTTCTATGCAGTGTTATTTTCTTTAGTGTTTTGACATCCATCTAGATGACAAGAAAAAAGACTTAAGACACAATTATTAGTCATATAAGGGTATTGTACAATACTCCACAACAATTAACAGCATGTTTTGTCTGTCAGCCTCATTAAAACTCGAAATAGCGGTCCACAGACATATTTCCCGTTTTAGCTCATTCCACATGTCTGTACCTGGTGAAAAGATTGTAAAGGACTCGGAGTGTCGATTTTAGGTCACAATTCACAATATCTGGAACAAAACAGAAGAAGAAAAAAAAAGAATTATTAATTTTGCAATAGCTTTCATAGAGTTACAACTGTCTTGGCCTGAAGAAGTCTTGAGCAGTTGAAACGCAGAT